AGCTTGAGACACAAAATAGCACCCCTGGCCCTGGAACCCTGAGCCTTAAAACCTCAATCCAAAACAAACCAGGCGTCCAAAAACACGATAGAACGAGGTCGCGCAGCTGTGTGTAGAAGAAATGAGAGTTCGATCAGAACACTAAGCTTGTGCCATGAATCTGACAACCCTGGCCCTGAACCTAAGCCCTTGTAACTCTCTAAAGCCGGAGTTCAAAGAACCAAGCTTCTGACACATTGACCCCAATCCACCAATAACCCGACACCGCAACAGCCCTGAGCTGCAATGCAATGGATCTGAATGAAGTTCATCAGCTTCTCTTGCGAGCTGCGGAGCCTGTGCTCCGCCATGGCAGTCAACAGCAGGCAAGGCTTCCAGGGTGCCATGGTTCAGGTGTGAGTGCTGATTGTGTGTGTGTGAGAGGTCTCCGATTTCCAGAAAGCAATGTCAATGATCGCGACGACGACGTCGCAGGCACTCAGGAAGAATGAGTGAGTCAGTGAGTGATTGGCCCATTCCGGTCAGGTCGTGCGGGCGGAGGCGGAGGCGGAAGCAGAGAGTCAGAAGAAGCTTCAGCTAGATTTGTTGAAGCCGAAAACGCGAATGGGGATGGGGAGACCTGTGTACAATGTGGACCAGCTGTTGAAATTTATGGTGCTGCCCCTCGGTCGCAGCGAGACTGGTAGTCCACGGTGCCAGCTAGTGGGCCTGTCTGATCACTGACTGGCAGGGGAGTACATTTGCGAGACTCTGGCAGATTTCGCTCCGCGCTTCAAGCAGCCTTGGTCTTACTGCACGGCGGTGATGGTGTTGGAATGGCTACTGCCACCTGGTCCGTATGTCATGTCACATGGTTACTGTTATGCCTTCTTTGAGCCTTCATCTTTTGAAGTGACGAGAGACGAGTGGCAAGGAAGAAGATGCTCCTCCTGGTCCGGGAGGGGCAACTTTCGTCAGGGCACGGATGAAACTTGATGCCCTACTCATGGCAGCACGCCGAGATTACTGGAAGAAGTCTGGATGGGGCCAGCACTTTATTGTACTGGGCAGCTTGGATGTTCGCATAACAGTAAGAACATGCTAAACTTGCTAAGCCCAACGAGCAAACGCTCATGTTGGTAGCCTGGTTGTGTGCGTTGAGATGTAGAATATTGAACCTCAGGATATGATTCCTCGGAGAAGGGCAAGGATTACTTGCTGGTGCAAGAATTCTCAGCGAGGTGCGCCTTGTCTGGTCTATTGAATTGCTCTGGCTGCTCTGTTATCGTTGTCACTTAGGGTGGATGCTTGCAGAGCCCGACTGATGCATGATCTGGAGTCGGTGAAGAATGCGATTCAGGATGTGACTATGGAGGACGCAGATATTGCTCTGGCACCACCCGGGCTGGGATTGGAGCGCAGGGCTCTTCCCGTGACCTCTATCGGAAAAGGCTTCGTTTTCTTGCGCGGCGGTGTTGTCAATGTTGTCGTAGCTTGTGGCATGGTGAGCTTTGTCTGTAACAGCCGATATGGAGGCGCTTCGTCTGCGGCCAACAAACTTGACGCCCTCCTTTACGTCCTTCAGCTAGAGATTGGTGTGTCAAATGCACCGCACGAGGACCTCACGAAGTACGCAGAAATGGTGATATGCAATTGCTCCGATCAAGGACATCTTTTCTAGGCCCAGAGATAGACGTTCACAAGCGTAGATATTTGGAAACAAGGCCTGTAACTGTAAGCCTTGGTCTTGCTTGATTGATAGGAGTGGAGTTCGAGATTGGCACTGCCCCGGCTATTGATCTGCAACTCTTGAATGCGGACACGGCTTGTGACTTGGACAGTAAGCCTTCCCGGGCGGAATCTACAAGCAACTTGGCACTCTCGGCACCTTTGCTTGCTCTCGATGACACGGAGAACGCAGATGGCACAACTACCAGCCTGCGCCCCATGGAAGAGCGTATCGATGCTCGGCAGGCGGTAGAGTCTGTTGAACGTGCTGGGGATGCAGAACGTTTGTCGCGATTGTTCCCCAACAGTATCCACACAGCTGACTTGAAGCACATTGTCGACAACCTCCTTCATGAATGCCTAGACTCGATGAAGCTGCTCTTCCGACGCATTTGTTTGTGGTTCGGTGCTGTAGTGCCGGGGGCCAGGAACGGACTGAACCAACCGATCAGCTGAGGTGGCCTCAGGTCTTGGAAGGCATGCGCGCCTTGGAAAAGCTGCTGAAAGCCCCTCTGATGAGGGAAAGGTTTCAGTGCTGCTGCTTTGACAAGGCAGACGCTGCCGCCAAAGTCTTTGACAACTGGAGCTTGTCACTGGTAAGTCTGCGTTGGGAATCAGTGACAGCGTTTTCAGAAGGCCTTCTCCAAGTGGAGTTTTTGCTACGCAAGCACTGGGACACAAAGAAGTTTCTGGACGGCGCACGTGACCCAGCCTCTGCCAGCGGAAGTCGATTTCAACCAAGGTCACTGGACAAGTCTGAGTACAGCGCAAACGTGCTGGGTATCCAGCAGGCAATAGTCAGCAAGTCTTTCTGGGCAGGGGTAGCGATCGTTCACGACATCAGCTACCAGGCTGAGTACGTCGGGAGATGGGCAGAGTCTTGCCCGTGTTGCCAAGCTGAGTCCAAGTCGAAACCGAAGCCTAAGCAGGCTTGCCCCTTCGAGGGCTGTCGTGCCAGTGAGCTCGCTACGGGTACTTGGCAAAGTGCTCTCGACAAAGTGATGTCGGCGAGCAGATCCAGGCTGACTGAGGTGCTGCTGCAGGGCAGCAGCGCCGATCGATTTTCATATATGTCAGACTGGCACACGGCTCGAGGCAAGCTCTGGTCGCAGCTTCGAGTGAAGCTTGCGCATTGGAATCAGTTACCCTGGAGATTGTGCGTCTTGTTTGCAAGCAGTGAAAGTCATCATTGAATGACTGATCAGGCAGAAGATATCCATCCTCATCCGAACACACACACACACACACCCGCACACCCGCACGCACACACACACACACACACACACACACACACGGACAGCCCCGCCGAGGTGGACTGGTGCATCACGATCCTGGGCAGGTCGTTGTAACGGCCAAAGCTTGCCTGGCTTTGTGGGAGCAAGGTGGACGGGGTTGTCTTCATGCGCAGAGTCAGAGATGGCTTAGCCCGGATTGGAAGGGACTTCGGGGAGACGGTGAAGAAGATCATCTGAGAGTCTTCGTAGAAGTTCTTGCAGCTGGGGCGTCCTCCATGCGAGAGCATGCTTCAAGTGAGCGTGCTTACGCGCATTTTCTGAAATGGTTGTCAGGACTACGCTTGGCTTCATTGTTGCAGGAGCAGCTTTTGCGTTTACCAGCCACAACCATAGAATGAGATGTGATGTAGTCATGCGGACACGGTACGCAGTTGCATGAGGTTCGCGTGGTGACACGATCCGTGGAAGGCCTGCACAGCCTTCTCACTCGGCTGATTCGCCGCAGTCCGGCTGGCAAGCTTCCGTACTTGTCGTTCGAGCTGCGCTCCAAGCAACTGCTTGATCTTGCGCTTTATCGGCCGGCAGTCACTTGGTTTGGTTGATATATTTAGCCGAGTGGCCTGGGGGGGATTGGGGGGGGGTTGGGGAGGATTGGGGGGGGTTTGGGGGGGGGTTGGGGAGGTTGGGGGAGGTTGGGAGGTTGGGGTTGGGGGGGGTCAAACTTAGAGCCTTGAAGTCCTTGGAGCTGAAGGAACTTCAAGCTGTCCAGTCTGTCGTGGCCGGCATCGAGCGTGAAAGCGGGTTTCGAAACGTGGTGTTGCCGGGCGCCCAGTAGCAGTGGTGCTGCTTGTCGTCGTGAAAACGCGGTGTTGCAGTAGTAGTGGCGGTGTCGTGGTCGCAGTGAAAGCGGCTTTCGAAACATGGTGTTGCCAGGCGCCCAGTAGTAATGGTGCTCGTCGTCGTCGTCGCCGTCGCCGTCGCCGTCGCCGTCGCCGTCGCCGTCGCCGTCGTCGTCGTCGTCGTGGTCGTCGTCGTCGTCGTCGTCGTAGTCGTAGTCGTAGTAGTAGTAGTAGTAGTAGTAGTAGTAGTCGTCGTCGTCGTCGTCGTCGTCGTCGTCGTCGTCGTCGTCGTCGCCGTCGCCGTCGCCGTCGCCGTCGCCGTCGCCGTCGCCGTCGCCGTCGCCGTCGTCGTCGTCGTCGTCGTCGTAGTCGTAGTCGTAATCGTCGTAGTAGTAGTAGTAGTAGTAGTAGTAGTAGTAGTAATCGCAGTAGTAGTCGTAGTCGTAGTCGTAGTAGTAGTAGTAGTAGTAGTAGTAGTAGTAGTAGTAGTAGTAGTAGTAGGAGTAGTAGTAGTAGTAGTAGTAGTAGTAGTCGTAGTCGTAGTAGTCGTATAGTAGTAGTAGTAGTAGTAGTAGTAGTAGTAGTAGTAGTAGTAGTTAGTAGTTAGTAGTAAGTAGTAAGTAGTAAGTAGTAAGTAGTAAGTAGTAAGTAGTAAGTAGTAGTAAGTAGTAGTAAGTAGTAGTACTGTAAGTAGTAGTAAGTAGTAGTAAGTAATAGTAAGTAGTAGTAAGTAGTAGTAAGTAGAATAGTAAGTAGTAGTAAGTAGTAGTAAGTAGTAGTAAGTAGTAGTAAGTAGTAGTAAGTAGTAGTAAGTAGTAGTAAGTAGTAGTAAATAGTAGTAAGTAGTAGAAAGAAGTAGTAAGTAGTAGTAAGTAGTAGTAAGTAGTAGTAAGTAGTAGTAAGTAGTAGTAAGTAGTAGTAAGTAGTAGTAAGTAGTAGTAAGTAGTAGTAAGTAGGTAGTAAGTAGTAAGTAGTAAGTAGTAAGTAGTAAGTAGTAGTATAGTTGCTGAGGAATCTTTTGCATCTACAGCCTTCTGAGTACTTGAACGGGCTGAATGCACGGCAGCTGGCAAGCCTGCTTAACCGGGACCACATTGTCCTGAAGCATGCCAAGCGAGAGACTTCAGCTGAATACAGTGACTTGTGATTGACTGAGATCATTGTCATGTTCCGTCTTTGGCCGAACCTGCAGCACTCTGAGGCAAGACTGCAAGAAGAGATGGCAGCCCACGAAGTTGTCGAAGATGTGATGCTGGAAGCTGCAGATGCAATGACCGGTTATGCTCAAGAAAATGCACAGTCCGACCTCTTGTCCCGCGTGTTGCTGGCTCACATTGGGCAGGCGCGTTAAACGAGCCGTCAGTCCAGTTTACATACCACAAGCAGACTTGACAGCACGTCGTCAGGTCGCCCAGAGAGACAAGGTGGTTTTCAGTTTGCCAAAGTCTTTGCTGGCAGACAATGTGGTAAGCCCCTTGGCAACCATCACCGATCCTTTGCAAAGGGCGCAGAGTGCAGATTTACGTACACGCGCGCCACTCATGGACAGAGAAAGCGCAGCTTCCGACATAGAAGCCGATGGTTGCAACCTGCTGCAGCCCCAGACGCTGTCACAAGCGTTATGCCCCGCGCCAGCACCAGGGTTGACGACAGCATTGAAGGTGTTCGGCGACCTGGCTAGTTCCTCTAGTAACATGGACTGCGCGGGGACGGATTGTGGCGACGCTGTGTTCTGGAAGCCGGTGGCAGGCAATCTTCATCACCACACATTGGCTGGGCAGCCCATGCAATCTTTTGATTTTTTGGCTCAGACGTTCCGGCCCTGCGCTGGCAGCACAGATCATGCGCACGTCGTGCCTTCCGGTGCACCCGTGGCCATGAGACTGGCCCATGTTCCCTTCGAAAGACTGTCTCGGGGTCTGCAGGTTTGGAAGATAATGCAAGCAGATGCTGCGCAGCTGGGTTTTGTCCACAACTTTGATTTGCGACCAGCCACGCGCTTCAGCATCTTTGTACTGTGAGTTTCTGCTGAAGTGTGTGTTGCTTGTTGTGCTGACCCGCGTTGGTTGTCAACAACGCCTAGCCTAGTGTACCAGAGGTCGCCGGAAGCAGTTTCGCTTCTGGAGCAGCTCCTGCACAGGGGCGCCCTGTTTTCAAGCAACCCCTCCAAGGCGGCTGCCGGACCAGGAGCTGTGTTTATCATGTCGGAGGATCAGCAATGCGCTTTTGACGAGCTCCAATCGAAAGGGCTTGCAACAACTGTCGCAGGGGACCAGATTGCTGCGACGCCTGCCGCAGCAAAAAACTTGGAGCTCACTGAGCCGCTCCACTCTCCCTCGACCATCTGTTCTTACAGGTCCGAGCCTGCGCCTGCTCAGGACAGCATGTCGCTGATGGACTTGATGAACGCCCTGACTGATGCCGGGTGGCGCAGGGTCTGCTTGAGCAGCTTGAAGAAGAGAGACCGACCAGCGCCATTCACAGAGGGACGAGGTGCAGAGCGGGTGTTCTATCATCTTGCGAACGCATCTTCCATCGGAAGGTGCTACTTGACAGCCCTGCTGCAATCAGACTCGATCTTCGCTAAAGGAGCTAAGGAACTCCACCATTTCCAGCCTGAAGCTTACTACAGGGCTCTGCTGGAATGCTCGATCGAGCAGATCAGCCAGGTATGCCCTGGTCGAACGGCGGAGGTCTACAGAACTTTTCACAACAAGCATCGGAAGCGGAATCTGCTTCCTGTCGACCTCTGCGGCAGCGACATGGACGATGAAGGACGGTCACACTGCATGGCCCTGTTGCTCGCAGATTCTTTTGTGCTTCTTCTTGCCAGGATCCGGCAACTTGCTGGCAGTGAGTGGCCGCGGACGAGGGCGTGGCCGAGGGCCTGGGCGTGGGCGTGGCCGCAAGATGCTGACGAACGCCCTATCGGCCAAGAAGAAACCGAGACTATTGGCAGGACTGTTCTTGAGTATTCAGTTTTCAGTCATGTTGACCTGCCAGTCTACCAGTCGCCTTTTGCAAGGGGTAGAAATTGTGACAGCAACGCAGCCGTTGTGTCAAGCTGTTGAGCTGCGATTCCCTTAGCTTTCGCGGGGGTTGGCGATGACACAGAGCTTCACGGAGGCTCGCTTACAATGGTTGTGCGAGAGGCAAGCCGAGCTTATTCCTTGGATTTCCTACAAATTTAGGAGGATAGCCTCATGGACTAGTTTCAGTATTCTTTTTCTTTGGAATCTTGCGACTGCGACTTCTGTGTTAAGAAGTTAAGATCCCTTATCCCTGCCATACCCAGGAGGAGGCGCTCGGGCTGCAGACAACGGTGCCGACCCAGGTGCCTCCGGCGCCAAAGTCGGTGCCATTTCCGCGTCCCGTGGGGGGCTTGCCACGTCCCGGGGGCCCGCCGCCTCCAACACCCGCAAACCATGTGCCTGGCGCGAGTCCTCCCGCGAGACCCAAAAGCACCCCTCCAGCAAGCAGACCAGTGCCTACCGTAAGAGCTCCCTATCCAAAAGGATCGACAGCTGCTCCTAAGCCAACAGCCGGGATGTTGGCCAGCAGCGCGGTGACGGCCGAGCAGTTTGAAGCTGCGTGGGAGGCGCTGATGGCGGAGACGGCCGAGGTCCGAGCCACCGACGACAACGCCGATGTCAGAGCCACCGACGACGACACACCGTCATTTTTGCGGTCGGAGTCGGAGGGGGACCCCGCGCCAAGTGGTGGTGCACCGGGTGTGAGTGTGAGCCCTGGAGTTGCAGGCATTTCCAACGATGCCACCGCCTCTGGTGACCGTGAAGAGAACGCCTCCGAGTCAGACATCGACTCATCCGACTCCGACATGGGTGGGGCGCGTGCCGCGGTTGCGCGCCCCGCGGTTGCGCGCCCCAAAAGGAAACAAGTTCGTGGAGGCTGAGGCTGGGCCCCCTTTGCATTTTCTGATTCAACCTCTGGCTCTCTGGCCCTCTGGCTGCTGGCTTCTTTTCCTGTACAGAGCAGAGAGTACAAAGTTCTGAGAAACTGCGAATCGATGCTGTGCTGCTGCGACAATGACAAATGCCTTGCAGACTTGCAGATGGATGTAAGTAAGCGGCTTGCATTCTTTTGTGTCCATTATATCTCACAATCCACAGGACCGGAGCTGCGCGTCCAGAGCGACAGCGATGAGTCCTTGCCAGACGAGGTCGCAGGCGCGTCGCAGTCCATTTGATAAGGCGCCTCGCAGTGAGCCATTCAAAGTGGCTGCGCAGGGCGAGACATGTCCGAGGATGAGGCCAGGCTGGCTTCGAATCCTGCGCCCGCGCAGCGTAGTTAAAGAGATGCTGTTTGCTGCTGTGTGTTGCTGGCAGGTGGCCGGTACTGAAATTGCCTCGCCAGCACGTCCTGCTGAACCAGCTGCTGAAGGCATGCGTACCTCGCGTGACTCGTGTGCCTCGCGACTGTCGATGTGTTTGTGCCCCACGCGCAGGAGACCAGAAATGCGACTCAGATTCTCCCACGCCACCAACGCCACCAACGCCACCTTCTATTGAGGCTGCTGTTCAAGCAGCCATGGCCCGTCAGGGGATTGAGGATGCTGAGTCGGAAGATGGACCCTTTGACAGCGACAGCCCCTTGGAGACTGACGATGCAGCTGCTACTTCCGGGATAGGCTCACAAGTGCTGAACATGCAGCGCGAGCCTCGTGGCACGTACAGCTCTGTTCTTAATCCCACAACTGTGTTTGTTGGATTCTTCTGCATCGTCAAACGAGAAGATCGGGCAGCTCGGATGTGCAGTGTGGCTGTATGTGTGCAATGTGGTTGTTTGTCTCACAGGCGTCGACTCATGTCAATGGTTGCAGCTGCTTGGTGCCAAGTTGCCAAGGAACTATTCTATGTCAAGTGTCCTCTTCACTCCTATGCGCAGGAAGAGACAGATGCTAATGGGCGCAAGACCATCGTGAAGCGTTCTTGCGGTAAATCCATGCAACTAAATCAGCCATCGGAAACAGTTGTTCTACACAGACTTTTCTGGTGGATATTTCAAGGCCCGGCAAGCAATTATGGTTGTATTTCAGGGTGGCTTATGGAGGTGTTTGCTTCCGAGCCTTTATTCGTGAGCCATGTCTAGGCACCACGATGATGCAGGGCCCTGGTGAGACTCAAGAAGAGCTTCGCCGAAGGCATGTTTCATTGGTCACCTGCCTCGTTTCGCGCGCACTTGCAATCAGTCATGCTGGCGTGTAAGTGTGGTGAGTTTGACGGTCTAGGCGATTTGTTTGTAAGGTTCCACCGCGCGACGCAGACCGTCTGGGTGACAAGAACCAGCTGGAGGCACAGATTGAGCGTTATTGTGCTTTGAACCGTGGCCGTGGCTCGGATGTTTAACCTTGTTTGAACTTGGTTGTTGTTGAGATGTAGCCAATGTAGCCATATCTGCCTTGCCGGCAGCTAAGGTGGAGCGGATGCTAGTGATGATGAATTCTGACGACTCTGCGCAGCAGAAGACCAGGAAAGGTTGCACGGCGGGCGGGGGGGAGGGTGGGGCGGGTGAGGGAGGGGTTGCGGGTTTGGAGGAGGAAGCGTCGAAGGGAAAGATGTGATGAAGTTAATTGAGCACAGGTGTAGCTGTAGCGTGCACAACACGCCCGTAAGTCCGAAGGTGTAGGAAACTACGCCCTTACCTACGGCCCGTAAGTCCATTACATAAAAGAAGCGACGCTATGCCGCCGTGGCCATGAACGTTTGGTCATGGTGCAGTTTGTCTTGAAAAAAATTTTCCCCTGCCAAATTTTTTAGAAAAATTTTGCTCGGAAAAAATTGGTCCTGAGCAAGTCAGAGCCTCCCTTCACCTCTCCCCGACGCTGCGGCGGCAGCCGCCAATTTTTTTCTCCTTGAAAAAAAACTTCCCCGGCCGAATGTTTTAGAAAAATTTTGCCCGGAAGAAATTGGTCCTGAGCAAGTCAGAGCCTCCCTTCACCTCTCCCCGACGCTGCGGCGGCAGCCGCCAAATTTTTTCCTTGAAAAAAATTTTTTTCCCGGCCAAATGTTTTAGAAAAAATTTGCCCGGAAAAAATTGGTCCTGAGCAAGTCAGAGCCTCCCTTCACCTCTCCCCGACGCTGCGGCGGCAGCCGCCAAATTTTTTCCTTGAAAAAAATTTTTTCCCGGCCAAATTTTTTAGAAAAATTTTGCCCGGAAAAATTTTTTTTGCCACGAAGTCATGCGGCGTTTCTGGCAAAAATTGACGTTTTTGCATAGAAACGATGGAAAACCTGTCGAAGATTTGGCGATTTTTCTGGGATCTTGTGCAGGTTTTCGCTCTTTTATAAGCAAAATGTTCGTTTTTTGACCGAAACGCTGCATGACGTCGCGGCAAAAAATTTTTTTCCGGGCAAAATTTTTCTAAAAAATTTGGCCGGGAAAAATTTGTTTTTCAAGGAAAAATTTTTTCAAGGAGAAAAAAAATCGGCGGCTGCCGCCGCAACGTCGGGGAGGGGTGAAGGGGGGAGGGGGAAGGGGCGATCGGTCTAAAACCCCATGTCGGTGGTCGTGATGAGTTTTTTTTTTTTTTGAGCGGGGAGGGGGGGGGGGCATCCAGTGGGGGGAAGGCATGCTATGGTTGGAGTTGGAGTTGGGCCAGTTGGGGGGGAATGGAGAGGGCAATGTTCTCGAAAGATGGTCCCAGATTGCTGGGCGGCGGTGCTTCTGATATGCCACCGTGCCTGCCAAAACGCGCTGGCCGTAGTGTTCAGAACGTGGATACTGGACGCAATGTCGGTCAAGCGGAAAGCTGACTCTGACTGCTCTGACTCTGTGTCCATCAGCAAAAGCAGCAGCAGCAGCAGCAACAGCAGTTCGTCCGACTCTGACTCGCCGTCTCCCGCCGTGGGCAAGTCTGGTGATTCTGGCGGTGACAAAGTCCTGCCTGAGGCAGGGGCGCCGGGACCGGTGCAGGGCGTAGACTTGTACACACAAACAGACACACACACACACACCCACACCCACACCCACACAGCCACACCCACAGCACCAGTCAGAGCACACACACACACAGACACACACAGACACACACACACACAACACAGACACACACACAGAGACACTCACAACAGACACAGACACAGCACACACACACACACACACACACACACACACACACACACACACACACACACACACCACCCACACCACACACACCCACACCCACACACACACAGACACACCACACACACACCACACACACACACACAACCACACACACACACAACACACACACACACACACACACACCACACACACACACAACACACACACACACACACACACAACACACACACACACAACGCACACAACACACACAACACACACAACACACGCAACACACACAACACACACAACACACACAACACACACAACACACAACACACACACACACACACAGCCACGGTTTAGGGTTTAGGGTTTAGGGTTTAGGGTTTAGGGTTTAGGGTTTAGGGTTTAGGGTTTCGGGTTATATGGTTTTAGGGTTTTAGAGCTTAGGGTTTAGGCTTTTGGGTTTTCATAAAAGACAGCGCTTGCTTGCTAGCGAATGAATTGCCAGGCATTGCCGACGCCCTCTGCAGCAGCTTCGGGGCATTCTGACAGCGACGGCGATGGTGAGGACCTACGGACCTGGGACAGGGAAGCGGCCTGTTTTTGTTTTCTCTCTGTCTCAGACTCGCAGAGGATGTGCTTTTAGCTTCCGGCTGCGCTGGACACAAGTCAGAATTGGATGGTCTGCGGAATGCATCGATTGCAGCCAGACAGGCTGCCTTGGCATCTTGGCCTGATGGCCCTGCTAGCTATGAGCAGCTGTTCAGATGGCCAGATACTTACGCCGATACGCTTCTTAGGCAGTGCAGCTTGTCAGAAGAACATGCAAAAAACTTCAGCAGTTTGCTGTCACTGGGGGGCATCAGACACTGTCATGCCTTCTCCGGCGTGGGGACTGCGTCCATAACTCTGCAACAATCCCTTCGTTCTCTGCGCAACGCCTTGCCAGTGAACTTGCCAGGCTCCTTCGATTGATTAAGTATAAGTTTCTTTAAGGGGTTGGCTGGAGTTGAGGCAAGTGTTTGAGACTTCGGGACCAACCGACAGGCGGCCAAGCAGCGTCAGCGTCAGCGTGCAACTTTTCTTACACGTGCGAGTCCGAGTGTGACCATGACCAGTGTGCCCAGCGCTTGCTGTGTGGAAGGCGCAAGGAGCGTAGATGTTGGCTCTTGGAATTTGCAGTGTAATCAATCCCTTTTGTCTAGTCAGAGATCTGCTGTTCTGGCTGGAAGGAGTTGAGTGGCTCCCATGTGCATACGTCGCTGGAAGAGCGGCTGCAGCCGTGGGCCTTGCTAAAAATGGCAAAGATTCGCTCTGACACTAAGATGGAGTTGGACACCGCCACCAGTGACTGGAAAGACTGGAGCAGCAACTGTTTGTGCTGTTTGCGCGGGTGTTTTTACTCACTCTGATTACTTTGAATTTGGTTGATGCGCTTGCCGTGTGCTCAGGTGAGATGGACATGGACGATGATATTGCGGCAGAAAAGCAAAGGCTGACTTCTCTGTACGGCGAGCTCCTGTTTAGCAGGTTTATGGAGTTCTTGCTGTCAGACGTGCCCAAGATTTGGCAGACTTCAGCCGCATGCTGCGCGCATCCCGCGGAGATGCCTGCTGAGCAGGCTGAGCCTGCTGCACATGCAAAAACGAAGGGCAAGAGGGTGAAAGCGAAGGCCAAGGGAAGGGCTACTCCCAGGCAGTGCCCTACTCCTGTGGGCCTACTTGCACAGCCTAGCGATGCGCAGCAGTTGCACGTGGCGTCTGCCGGGACCGTTTGCGTGGACGTCTCGAAGTTTGGAGACCGAATCTTACCGATTTGTTTGTGGGGCCAGCCGTTGTGACTTGTGTGACTCGTGACGTTGTGTTTTTTGTAACACCTTTTCGAGGCGATGCAAGGTCTCTGGGGAGCCTCTACTGAAAGTCTAAGCATCTGGTTAGCCGAGCGCGTTATATGCCGCGAGGCACGGGGCGCCAAGTTGACTGGGTTCGTAGTTCGGAGCCACCACAGCCACCGCCGCACAAAGTACTTCGATTCGTCAGGCGATCATGGTACATGAATGTACATCGGCCTTCAACCGCGACCTGTTTCGACGCTGGCTGCCGGACTATGACATCCAGGAGGTTGTGGATGACCAAGGGCGACCACTTCTGCTGAGCCCGCATCAGCTAGGATGGCCGCTGTTCCGGCCACGGTTGTACACGGTACTTACCAGGCGTGATGCTGTCACGCTGGTGCGATTTCAGGAGGCATTGACAACAATGTTCAGGAAATGCGTCCTTCCAGTGAGCGCTTTGTTTATGGCACCGAAGGACACATGTCAGAAGACCTATGCGGGTGTACGGTGGTGTGTCGTTTGGTAGTGGCTGATTCAGATTCAGACAAGCATTTTAACGCTCTGCACTGGCGACCCTGAGGAAGAGGTTTCTGCTTTACGCGTCCAGGCTGCTGAGAAGGCGCGCAAGCCAGGAGCATCGACGTTTGCGGAGACTTTGTCAGGACTGCCCGTGTGCCGTGTGCCATGTGCCAGTGAGTTCGTTCGTGTCACTCATGTTGATTGGAGACTTGCGCTGAGGAGCCAAGCCCTGCTGGCTGGAGGGGTTCCGAAAACACGCAAAGGTTTTGAAAGCCTTTTCCAGAGGTGCATCTGTGGCATGTGTTGCCCATAGCCATATTTGCTTTTTCTCTTGCCGCGCCTGGGCTGCCTACCTGGCAGGTGCTGAAAGTGTGGTGGCAAACCTCAACCAAAACCCACAGTCCCGGGCGGTGGCGTCCACATACTTGCCCACGCTTCTCCGGACGGGCTGTATGTGGCTTCTTTTGCCGGACAGCCCCGACCGCAACCAGAAGGAGCGCTACATGACAGACAAAGACGCCTGACTCAACTCATGCACGTGCTGCCGTGCAGACCTGGTTGTTGATGGTCCGTGATCTGAGGAGACGCTCCATGCTATGGGCCATTGCCAATACATGTCCCACGCAGGCGACCAATTGTATCCCACAACAGATTTTTCCTTCATGAAGGCGACGGAGATGCGACGCGTTGCTGGAAATGTTACTTGCTTGATTCTGGGTTTATGGCCAGGGTTTAGGTTTTAGGGCGTACAGGGTGTAGGGTTTAGGGCCTAGGGTTTAGGCTTTGACAGTCTGCACGTGTGTTGTCCAGCTCAGAGGCAATGCATGCTGCAGTCATTGGCGCAGTATGGTCCGCCATTCTGGTCAGCATTCAGGTAAGGCCAGCGTGAGGCATGTGTGGCGTGAGACTATGAGACCATTCTAATTCGGCTAGGCCAGGACACCCTGTCGCGCATTGGAAAACTGTAGCTTGAAATTCGGCCTGAGCTTGCAGTGTTGTGGGCCTTGCAGTTGCAGCTTCCGCAGTTGTTACGAATTCAACACAGCAGGTTCAAGATCTCTGCAGTTGCAGCTTGCCTGGAGTTTTAGCTGTTAGAATGGCCCAGCCAGACGTTGATCCGGCACTGGGACTGGCGCTGGCAAGTGACGGGTGCCAGTCCACCAGCAGCGCGCCTCCCTGGCTGCAGACTACCTGCGCAGTGTGCAATGTCGAGTTGACGTACAAGCCAGCTCTGTAACCCGTCGCTGGATTAAGAACTAGCGCTGAGTCACACTGCACTTGTCCGCTTGATAAAATTGCTCGGCGCAGTGCAGTGGAGAGCCTAAGGGAAATTCAACTATGTGCCGATCACGCGGCAGATCGGGTGGCGCTGTACAAACAAGCAGCCCTCGTTGATCAGGTGGCTGCGGAGAAGGCTGCCAAGGCAAAGGGGCTTGGTGAATCGCAACAGGAACCCGAGCCACTGAAGGCTCGCTTAGAGGGGATGGAACGCGACGACAAGCCCGGCTTTGTTCAGCATCTGAAGGACTTCACCGCAACGCAGTCTGGGAAAAGATCAGTAAACAATTCAGATGTTGTTGGTAGTGGTAGGCGTAGGTGGCGTGGTGTTTATGTGTCTTTCGGCCAGCTGGCTGAAAAGAAGCGTAGTAGTCGTTGTAGTCAGCCAAGGTGCCCCAAGCCAAACCGACAAGGAAAACGGAGGAACCAATTCGATTTCACGAAGGTGATCACTTCATCTTCGGCGGGCAACAGGCCAATCTATAGACGATGTAGCCGTGCAAGTTCAAGTGTGCTTCCTTGTTGCTGTCGTGTGAGTTGTGTGAAAGGTTGGAAAATCAAGCTGGCAGAATTCCACTATGCCAGTCCGAATATATTGATTGGTTCACGAAGGAATGCCCATCCTATCACAGTGTCTCGCTGAAATCACTGGCAAGCAATGGCAGGCAGAATGAACAAGTATTTTCGGCAGTGTGAGTTGTGTAAGGACTGGACGACCTGGCTGCAAAAAGAGCTTGGGACGCTGCTGTGGCCAACCCCGCTGTCTTCAAGGATCAAATCCTGGCTAACAATCTCGATGGATCTGAGGCTGGCTTTGCGCCTGAGCTGAAAATTCTAAATTTTGAACGGGAAGGAGGGTTTCTGGGAAAGGCCTAAGAAAAAAGGGGAGGGGGGGGGGGGGGTCCCAGGTTTTTGCAGAGAGCGGGGGGGGGGGGAGATGCGTCACGACCGCATCCCGTGTCTGCTTGTTCCAAGCGCACAGAAGCACCTGGAGCGGTTTAGGGTTTAGGGTTTTGGGTTTTGGGTTTAGCGTTTAGGGTTTCGGGTTTAGGGTGTAGGGTTGCTAAGACTTTCCTGCAAATCTAGAGAGACGACTCGACTACATGCGGCCCGAGGTTACACGAGTGTGGCTGCTTCCGTCTGGACGTCTCGGAGAAAAAAAAGTCAACATTCATTTTGCTGCGACTCGTCTTGCAGTTTGCGAGTTGCGCTGCATGCATTCCATTAGCAGAAAGATTCACATTCGGGATGACTCCAGGAGAAGGGTGTACGCCAAGAAAATTCCATGGAGTGCAAGGCCCCGACGGCAAATCAGCAAAAGAAATTGGCAGAGGCTGCGTCGTCGTGTTTGAAGCAATCTTTAGACTTGGACGATGACGATTCGGGTTGCTGCCTGATGACAGTGTCCGTGCCGCAGCTTGAATCGACAAAATCAGCAGTGCAAGGAAGCAACGCGCCTGTGGCATTGGTTCCTGCTGCGAAGGTCCAGGGACGTAGAGTGGCGGCCAAGCCCAAGGCCAGAGCCAAGCTCCCTCAAGTTGCAGCCAGCCAGGCTCGCAAGGACACCCTGAAGCTCTACACGAGCGTGATGGCCTCCCACAAACAAGCACTTAGGCAAGCGCCAGATGCGCTGAAGGAAGCTGCCCAAGCCTATGACAACAGCATCGAAATGGCTCTCAGCAAAGATGACAGCGTGAGAACAATCAAGGTCCGCCAAGAGTGTCTGCAGATGCTCGCCAACGCAGACCAGACGAGACCGTGTGAAAGGGACTCAGGAGAAATGCTTGCGCAGTTGAGAACGGATGCCTATTTCGCTGAGCAAGACTGGCAGGCGCAAGCCGTGCAAACGGTTGGCCAGATCAACTACACGCGGTCTGTGGCTCTGGACTTGCAGCGCACGTCTGCGGCGGTCGATGAGCTGGCGGCCGTTCACAAGGAAAGCCTGCAAGTGTTACAAACGGTCGCTGCAGCGCTCGTTCGTGAGATAACCTCCTGGCGTGCAAACATGGTTGCTATGAAGAAGGCAAGAGAGCAAGAGTTGGAGGCCGAGCGGCGAGCGAAGGAAAGAGAGAAGAGGGCCCAGGAAAAACAGCGTCTGGCAGATGAGCGGAAAGCCAAAAGAAAGGCCGACGCGGAGGCCGCCAAACAAAAGTCTGCCGACGCCAAGGCGGCAGCAGCAGCGGCAGCGGCAGCAGCCGAGGGCCCTGGTGCCGCAGACGCGCCTTTGGATGGCGCAGACGGCGCGAACAGAGCCAACAAACGCAGGCGCAAGGGGCCCAAGTCAGCAGCAGAGGTGACTGACGGCGACCTGCAACTCATCAAGTGCATCAGTGCTGGTGGCTTCGACAGGAGCTTGGGATTTGATGTGTGCGCGGATCTGGAGCTTTTCTTGGACCGCATCCTTACCACAGGGGGCTACTTGATGCACTTAGGTTGCTGTTTACTCCGAAGCACCGACGTCTCAATTCCCAAGTGCTCAAGTACAGCAGAGGCAGCGTGTCAGTTCTGGCGCGTCTGAGAAAGGGCACTATCAAGAAGGTAATGGATGTCGCTTAGCTTGAATTGAGTGTCGTGTTACGGTAGGGCGAGACGCGTTGTTGGACATGTGAAGGCTTCGCCGGGCTGCAGTGACGAGGAAGCCAAGACGTATGCAAAGAAGTTCTCGAAAGACCTCACGGCCTTTGCTTCAGAGTTCGAGACCAGGATCGCGAAGCACGACCCGAAATCTACAACCCCGTTGCCGGACCGCCAGGTTCGGATGGCGCCGGCGCCGGCGCATGTGCTGGGCTTCGATAGCTTGATCATGCGAGAGCTGGACAAGCGGAAGATGTTCAACCTGCAGATTCTCAATCGAGATCGGCTTGCTGAAAAGCCAGTACCCCAGCCCAAGACCCAAGTGCCACGACATTCTGCGTCTTGCTGTTGGTAGGTGTGATTGTGATGTGTGATGGTTTGAGGTTTGCTGAGCTCGGCCACGATGAGCGTGCCAAGCAAAAGAACCACTTGAAAGTTGCAGGCATTGCTATGACTGCTTTTGCTCAGGGAAGCACCTACGCAGGATTCTTGCCCATGGGCCTGGCTTCAATGCACTACCATGCCGTTGGGGAGAAAATGATAGCCGTCATGGATTTGTGGGAAGCGACCGACATGTACAAGCAGACGATCCAGGCAAAAACAGTCGGCGCCGACGCCTGCGTCGGTGCCGCCGACCAGCCATGCTTGCAGGCCACATAACGCATGAGTTTTTCTAACTTGGTCGAGTGAGTCAGTGAGTGTCGAATCTTGACAGGACGTGATGTCCTTCATCACATCGCTGGATATCTTTGCAGACACCGAGCTGCCAACACGCATGCAGAGCCTGCGCGTGGGCACGTTGCTGCCAGGAGACTTGCTTTACGTTCCGGCCTGCTCACTGACAGTTGAGCGTTCAGGCGGGAGCAACAACATTGGTGCCCGCGCAACGGTGTGCCTCGCAAAGCCCAGGGACTACTTGCTGTACAAGCTTTACAGGACTGTCTTCTCTGCGCACCTGCGCAGCATGTTTGTCTTGTAGCCGTACGTGTTTACCTGTCTGTCTGAGCTGAGTCTGAGTCTGTGCCTGCCTAGCCCAGGGACTTGGGCGCAGAGATTATGTCTGTGGCACTCAAGCCGCTGAAGTTTGGTCAGGACGAGGGCGAGGGGGCTTTGGCTCTAGACGACCTGAGCCTATCTTCGCAGCAAGACCGAACGGCAATCACGAATGGCGACGGCAGTATGATGCTTTCAAAGAAGGCCGAGGTCGAGGAAGAACTCGAAGCGGAGCGCGCCAAGGCCCCTGCGGACCCGCTCGTCGGACACCTAGTTCAGGATGCAGATCTGATTGGCCTGGCAGCCCAGACGACTGATGCAGCTATTCGTGCCCGGCTGGACTCAATGAGCGACGAGGACCTGGCCGCTCTTTGCGCGCACGTTGAGCATCATGAGAACTTCGCTGGCTACCGGAAGTATTGCGCCGACACATGGTTTGCAGGCGATCTCGAGGCGCTCGATGAGGATTGGGCGTTTGGAGATGAAAGCGCTGACTTGCTGCAAGATCTCATCTCCTGGTATTCAGACCTTGCGAAGTTCTTTGCAGAACAGGAGCAGCCGAAGGCCAGCCATTATGTAGATTGTTGTTTGCGCCACGCGCTGTTGGGTGTGTGTGTGTGTGTGGGTGTGTGTGTGTGGGTGTGTGTGTGTGGGTGTGGGTGTGGGTGTGTGTGTGTGTGTGGGTGTGTGTGGGTGTGGGTGTGTGGGTGTGTGTGGGTGTGTGTGTGTGGGTGTGTGTGTGTGTGGGTGTGTGTGTGTGTGGGTGTGTGGGTGTGTGGGTGCGTGTGTGTGTGTGTGTGTGTGTGTGTGTTTATAGGTTTCTTGTGCGACGTGTTAAACTTCAGGAAGCAAAGATTGCCACAGCCGAGGGCGCCGCTGGCGCTAACAAGATTGAAGCAAGCAATGCGAAGGCAGGGTGCCTCCACCGTTTTTTTGTTTAAAGTTTAAAGACGATGCTCATCCGACAGGAGACGATGGAGGAGGCTGGCGCCCCACTGCCCCAGACTGACGTCCAGATGACAGAGGTGGGGACTGTGCCGATGGAGACTGTGCCGATGGCGGACGCTGGGCCGGCAGTCAAGGACTCGCCGGCAGTCGACCCTCAGCTGAATGCCCTGTCGTATCACGCCGGGTTTGAGCTTTGTTGTTTTTGTCTAAGCACGCTCATGTGTTGGACGTCAGGCAGCTTATCCTGAGACCGCCGTTCCGATGGCGGAAGCTCCTAGCAACCCCCCTGACATCAAGCCGGTAGAAGAGGCAGGGTGTGTTTGTCTGCTGCTTTTATCTAAGCCAAGCTAAAGCATTGGACATCAGGCAGATTATCCTCAGATGGCGCAGTCGAGCACCATGCTGATTCCAACGATGGAAGCTCCTAACAACCCCCCTGACAACAAGCCCGTGGAGGCAGGGTGTGTTTTTGTGGTTGCGTTTAGTTGAACGAAGCTCAAGCGTGGGAACATCAGGCAGCTGATCCTGGGACTGGGACCGCCGAGGCCGAGCAGATGGCGCAGTCGGGCACCGTGCCGATGCCAACGGTGGAAGCTCCAAGCAACCCTGACATCAAGCCCGTGGAGGCAGGGTGTGTTTTGTGGTTGCGTTTAGTTGAACGAAGCTCAAGCGTTGGACATCAGGCAGATGATCCTGGGACTGGGGCCGCCGAGGCCGAGCAGATTGCGCAGTCGGGCACCGTGCCGATTCCAACGGTGGAAGCTCCAAGCAACCCTGACATCAAGCCCGTGGAGGCAGGGTGTGTTTTGTGGTTGCGTTTAGTTGAACGAAGCTCAAGCGTTGGACATCAGGCAGATGATCCTGGGACTGGGGCCGCCGAGGCCGAGCAGATTGCGCAGTCGGGCACCGTGCCGATTCCAACGGTGGAAGCTCCAAGCAACCCTGACATCAAGCCCGTGGAGGCAGGGTGTGTTTTGTGGTTGCGTTTAGTTGAACGAAGCTCAAGCGTTGGACATCAGGCAGCTGATCCTGGGACTGGGGCCGCCGAGGCCGAGCAGATGGCGCAGTCGGGCACCGTGCCGATTCCAACGTCGGAAGCTCCTAGCAACCCTGACATCAAGCCCGTAGAGGCACGGCAGGGCCGGCAGGGTGTGTTTCTTGCGGCGTTTCTCTAAACGAAGCTCAAGCATTGGACATCAGGCAGCTCATCCTGAGAGCACTGAGACCCAGCAGATGGCGCAGTCGAGCACCGTGCCGAACATGACTGAGACCCCGAGCAACCCTGACAGCAAGCTGGTGTGCTTTTCGTTGAAAGTGAGGGAAGCCTGAAGTGTACAACAAAAAAAACTCACCTGAAGGCATGACAATGAGCGCCGATGACAAGGACTTAAAGCAGCAGGCGCCGGAGACGGAAGGGTATGCCTGTGCTTTGATGCGACGTCCTGCTAGTGATGTGCATCTGATGCCCAAGGAACCGTGGCTACGTCGTCAACGCCGGCGAAGGACGAGCAGGGTATGGGCAAGGCTTGCGAGCGCGAATTCCTAGCTTCAAACGTCAGGAGCCCCAAAGCCAGAAGGCTAAGCGTGCCACAGGGGCAAGAAAAGCACAGGAAAAGGCGCAGCCGGCGAAGCCCAGGGTGACAGCGCCAAAGGGCACGGCGAAAGCAAAGTCTCGAGGGAAGGACACGGCGCAGAGAAAGGGGGGGGGGGGGGGGACCTTGGTCCATATCGACAGTACCTTTCACATTCACTTGCCAGGACCTACCTTGCAGAAGCTTTTCAAGAAAGGATGAGCAGTGCCGATGCCTGCAAGACGAACATGAATTGATGTGTACAGACACGTGCTTTGAGCTCAGCAGGGCCTCTTGCGTGACATCGTTGCTGTCACAGTAGCTTTGTATGTCTAAGTGGGGATTGCATAGACTCCTGAGCTCTCTCTACAGCGCAGTGTTTATCCAAGCATCGCAAAGCGATAGAGCCACAGTGCTCTCCCAAGTTTTGTCCAGAGTCACAGTCGCCGTCACCGAGTCAGCTTCAGTGCTGGTGTGCAAAAGCGACCACTGAGCATTCGCCCGCAAATCGCATGATTTAGACTGTTGCACAGTCTCATAGTTTTTTTTTCCCAGCCCAAATGTTTCTCGACCTTAAAAGCCCTTACTTTTGAAATTTGACAGACCAGGCCAAGAGAAATCCCGGAGGATGTGAAGGCGCCGAAGGCAGCCAACCTCTTGTTTGCACATGGACTGGCCGACATCAAGGGAAGCACTGTGGCCAGTGTGGTGCAGGGAATTGTCCTCTACCTCAGGAACCTGAACCTTCCTGTTCTTCGTTTCCACTCGGACAAGGCAGCACAGTTCACCAACAAGGGCTTGGTGCAATGGCTGCATGGTCAAGCGATTCGGGTGACTACAAGTGTGCCCGGAATACCTCAAGGAAATGGTGGCGCTGAGGCGGCCATCAAGACAATCAAGCAGCGAGCTAGGACAGCCTTGGCATCGGCGAGGTTGGACCTGAAGTTCTGGCCATGTGCAGCTGAAGCAGTGGCGGCACAACAACGGGCCAAAGCGTTGTCACAGGTGTCAAAGCTGGCAACGACGTTTGGAGCTAAGGTGATGGTGAAGCGGAGACCTTTTGCCTCAGGAGGGAAAACGGTTCGAAGGGAGTTTGAGCCTAGATGGGTCGAGGGAGTGTACCTGGGCTTGAGCAACTCGGTGGACGATGGCCACCTGGTGTATGCAGAGGACTCGTTTTTGCATACCAAGAACGTGAAGCCCAAGGCAGCCCTTGTGGATCCTGGACCTCCTGAAGTCGAACCTGGAGATGGTGTCTTCGAGTCCTTAGCGCCCCATGAAGGGGATGAGCCGTGCCGAGGAGGGGACGGTCCTGTGCGACGTCGCCTGACTGGAAAGGGTCCACCGCGTATGGCCCGTGCAGTGTCTGGCGAGTTGGTAGAAGTGGAGCAGCAAGATGGTGATGCTGTTTCGGAGGCTGAGGCGTTTGCTCGCGAGGTCTTGTACGAGGAGTGGGAGATCACGTCGGAGATCGTTGAGGAGCTGTTCGAGCTACTTCCAGGAGATCCTCCACCTCGAAAGTGCGTACCAGGTGAGGATATGGAGGAAGAAAAGGCCTGGTCGTCGGGGGCGTTCATCCGGGGGGGCATTGGTGGTCTTCGAGCCAACACCCGGAAGTTCCCGTATGTCACCAGGGTGATCAATCGCTTCATCGAGAACCGCACTGCTCACTTGGACAGCAGGTGGAATTCCTTCGTGATCTTCAAGAACTCGAAGACGGTGATGCATCGGGATTCCCACAATTCCAAGCATCAGCCATCGTACCTGGTGCCAATTTCTCAGTTCACAAAGGGAGGTTTGTGGGTTGAAGGAGTGCCCGAAGGTGAAACCCCAGTGGAGCTGAAGGAGAAGTTGGGCCACATCAAAGAGTTTGTGGACGATGGTGGTCGGAGACAACCAATTGTGTTTCTTCCGAGGAAATGGCACGCTACCCAGGAGTGGGAAGGCAATCGGCTGGTGGTGGCGGCGTACTCCATCAGGGACTTCCACCGGGTGAAGAGTGATGAGCAAGAGGTGCTGAATGATTTGGGCTTCGTCACAGCGGAGGAAGTCATGGATGAGGAGACAACGGGTGACTCGGGAGATCAACGTTGCTTCCAAGTACCTCAACATGCTACTGGGTCTGGTGGTGACGGGCAGCAGCAGGTTCGGTTGAGACCAATGCGAATGACTACTGACGTCAACGTCCTGGCAGCGTACTTGGAAGGGCATGAGGTTGAGCCGTTCACGGTGAATTGGCGAATGGACTCATTGCCGACTGAAAGGCAAGTGTTCCAGGCTGCTAGGAAGGAGGATCTGGCCTATCAGTTCTGGAAGCAAAAGGATCGCTTGGAGCTCATCTTGTCGGAGGATGCTGAGCCGGTGCTGGAGAGGAGAGTCACCGAGCAGGTGATTGGATCACCTCGGTATCGGTTGATCTACATGGCAACGGTCACCATGGTGTGGAATGGCCCCGGTGGTACTTCGGCAATCTTTGGGTACTACGTGGAGCCTAGGAGAGACACCAAGTACCTCTATGTGAGCTGGGTTGAGGCCACGCGGGAGGAGTACATCCACGAGAGCGAGATGACTCGAGCGTTGCAAGAACTGCCACCACGGGGGGCAGCTTCTACGGTTCCTGCAGGTCCAGCAAGAGCGGGAGCAATCATGTCCAACAATACCACCTTCACGGTGAATCCAAGGGAGAGGTCTAGATCGAGAGATCAGGAACCGAGAGATCCCAGCAGTTCGGTTCGCTTGAACAAGTTCACGGGACCGAATCCTCATGCCTTACCACTTCAGCCGGTGAATCGAAGGATGGAACTGATCACCAGGTTTGTGAGGCTTCAAGAGGATGAGTACGAACGATGGGAAGCAGACGTTCACAGCGGGCAAGAGGTGATTGACGCCTTTCGTGGACAGTGGAGAGAGATTTTGCCCGTGGATGACACCGTAGATGAGGTGGTGCCAATGTTGGTGTTGGAAGATTGGGAGACTGAGCCTGAGGTCTACATGGTCACGGAGGACGGATTCCGAAGGCATTTGGTCACCATCATGGATGTGCAGGAGTTTCCGGTGGTGGACCCCACGCCTGAGAACACGTTGGACTGGGAAGAGTTGGTGGTCGTCCAGGTGTACAACATGTTCCTTGGAAGGGTGGAGTATCTCCTGTACTGGGACCGAAGGGTGGTGGTGGAAGAGGCACCATTGCCGGCGTTGCCATGGATGGGACGTAGGGACCCTCCTGGACAAGATGATCGTGAACCTCGCTTGGCACCAATGAGGGTGGAAACTGCGAGGGAGAACAAGCTCATCGTCGACGACATGATGTTGTTTGAGGAGGTTGAGTTTGAGGAGCTGGGCGAGCCAGAGGAATCCTGGATGGAGCCTATGCTTAGGAAGGCTACCTCTGAGGGCCTTTACACCCCAGGGATTGAAGCGTTGCTGAACGACTTGAAGGAGGACGAGGTGCTTCAGGTTGTGCACACCGTTGACCCGAAGGAGGCGAGTGAGGCGATTGAAAAGTGGAAAAAGCCTATGGCCAAGGAGGTCGACTCGATGGTGGGCATGAACGCTATCCACAAAATTTGGGGTGAAGACGCGAGACGTTTCCGGGCCGATCCAAACTCAGTGGTGGTGCCGTCCAAACTTGTGTACACAGTGAAGCCTCCCACAAGGCCTGAGGAGGGGAAGTACCGACGTCGAGTGCGGGCGGTGGCTTGTGGAAACTTCGCCAATGAGGGCCTGGAGGTGGGTGATCTTTATGCGGCAGGAGCTACAATCGATGGAGTTCGGATTGTGGTCGCTGAAGCCAGTGCCAACAAGTGGAGCATTGGCACGGATGATGTGAAGAACGCCTTCTTGGCTGCACCACTACCAGCGGGTCGTGGGTATGCAATGGAGCCTCCCCGGGCAGCGATCAGAGCTGGCCTGGCCGAGGAGGGGGAGCTGTGGGTCGTGGACGCTGCAGTCTATGGTTTCAAGAAATCGCCAAAGTGGTGGACGGACCATCGCAACTCAAAGGCAAGGCTTGCGAAGTGGAAGCACGATGATGGGAAGCCGGTGAAGTTGGAAGGCTGCTTGACGGACGTCAACCTCTACAAGGTCCTGAAAGAGGAGAAGCCTGGAACGTGGACTTTGACGGGCTTGGTGGTCTTCTATGTGGACGACGTCTTGGCGGCTGGGCCGGATTCCATCTTGCGAGGGTTCTTCGGATGGTTGGGCAGTCAATGGGAGACCAATGGCTGTGAGATGGTGGAGCGAGGAAAACCACCTGTCCGGTTTCTGGGCCTGGAGATTAGCATGCTGGACGATGGGACCTACTGTGTGGGTCAGCAGGGCTATTTTGAGGAGTTGGTTCGAAGCCGGGAAGTCAAATCCTTCAGCAAGCTGCCAATGGCGAGGGAAATCCCAGAAGGGAGTGCTACGGAGGAGCAGGATCCGAGCATGGTGAAAGAGGCACAGCAGCTGTGGAGAGCTGTTGTGGGCTTCTCAACGTGGGCGGCCGGATTTGGCATTCCCAATGGCAGTGATGTCTTCGTTGGTCACGAGAAATGCAAGGGAGGCTGTGAAGATGGGCAAAAAGATGGTGGCCTATCCCAACAGCACCATCGACAAGAAGTTCT